AGAGGTAAAAAATTAAAATCGTCTGAAAGACTGAGACAAATCCGACAAATAGTAGAAATCAACATTTATCACTCATTCAACTCCACGAAACAACCTAACCGTGTTTTGCATTCTTGAACAATCGAAAACCTAACCTCCCTGTATTAATTTAAACCCGAGACATAATGCCACACTTGTCACGCAGGTAAATCTAATGTTAATTTCCTGTGAACTCTGCAATGATGACACATATTATTATACCTAAGTACTTTTATGACTGATTAATCTTATGTTTCATATGTACTAGGAGTATAGTTGTATTTATTTATTTTTGAAATAAGTTTATTTTGTGTAAATCTAAAACTGTAAGAACTTAAAAAAAAAAAAATATTTGTACTGTAACAAGAGTTGATTTATTCCAATTCAAAACCGTTTTCAATAGAATTACAGCAGTTATTAATCAAATAATAATAATAAAAAAAAACATTTACACGATTTATTATGTAATAAAAATAATAAACTATTCTGATCAATAAAAGTAATTTATTATTTTTACATTGATTGAAGGTATTCGTGTTTATTAAATTTTTAAATTACTATAATATGTTTATATAAACTAAATTGAACCATAAAAATCAGACATTCACTTAATTTTAAATTAAACAACGGTGTGAAGAATACAAGTATAATGGGTTTTGCTATAATTGACTTGTCAAAGGTAAATGACATATTTTAGGTTATGTTAATGGGAAATGGCATATTTTTTGACCACAAACGTTTAACAATGAAAACAGATTTCAATTTCAATTTTAATGAAAACAATTCTAATAATGTATTTTCTATTTTAAAATTGATTATAAATGTATAAAAAAATGTTGATAAAACTTGTAGTGATGCCGTCAGTTATGACTGTAATATATTCTTATTTAAAACGTCTCTATAAAAATATGCAAAATGGAGTGTCATCGTTGTCGACTTAAATCGTTGTTTAATTCGTCTGATGAAAATGCAGATATTTTCCATTGTCGAGAATTTTTACGAATACCATCTTCGTGGTCTATAACTTGTGGTATAACTTGTAAGCTTGACGAGTAATTTCAGGGATCAAGTAAAAATAAATAAATAAATTTAGTACTAAAATATCGACATAAAAAATATATTTAAGCCGTAAAACTTACTCGTATATAATATATTATTATTATATGAACATATAAGTAGGGTATCGATGTTTCTGATTATACCGTAAGCAATAGCTAAGTCTGATGGGATTCGACAGTATTTTCAATTTCAAAAGTGAATATATAATAAGTTTCCTGCACTCCGTTTATACAATATTAAATATCATATATCTATCAGCATAATATTATTGCACAGGATGTTTCACCAAGCATGCTCCTCCCCAATTTTTCCTTTAATAATGAATTTTTTCAAACATCTGATTTTTAGTGAATTTTTAAATAATTGTTTATAATTCTCGAGATTTTTTCATATTACTTGTACTGACATTTTTACTATAAATTGTTTAGTATATCATTTTTTTGAAAATTTCTACGTATATATTATACTGTACAAAATCTCCACAAGACACTCTTGATGTGGTAATAAAATATCTCAAGAAGTTGAAAATTTATCGTCTCAATAAATGTATATTTAAAAATTTAAAAATTAGATCACCTATGAATTATTGCATTATTGAAGAAAAAAAAATAGTGAGCATTCTTGGTGAATCACCTTGTATAATACAAGAGAGTGATTTGTATGGACATTTTTTTTGCTTACTATCGAATATCTCGAAAACGTATCGAATAAATAATTTTTATCCATTGACCACGTGGGCACAAATCATTTGACTGGATTAAAAATGTGTTTCCAATGAAAAATGTTTACATAATATCAATATTATAATAAACGCGTATTTGCACATATGTTTGATTAATAATAGACTGCTGAAAAATCTTGGTGCAGTATAATAATAATTATTATTATGATTTCGATGGTGACATAACACGACGACATAAACGAAACCCTAGCTAATCCCCGTTTTTGAATGCTGGCTCGCGTATGTGCAGAAGCTGTATACATTATATAATAAGATTATAATATTAGGTAGGTAGTAATGTATTATTATTATTATTATGTAAAATGTTCGACGTTGGGAATAATAATTGCGATACCGACGACTACGGCGGACACGTCTCTAATGCGTTTATGTAAATTCCACCGAGTTTGCGAATTAATACGTTTAAGTTCACCACCGGTTAGGTATAAGGATAGGTATTATACAATATGCACATAAATATATTTATATGGAAATCACTTCTCATTGGTTCCCTGCCTCCCAACCCAGGCTACCATACGTTACCTACAGTCGTTACCGATTCGGCGAGTCCCCCCGTTCACTCTGCGATCTATATAATATCATATAATCAATTGTTATTAAAATATTATTATTATTTCCGCTCAATAATAATAAAATATACAATTAGCAATAATCGATCGAAATTAAAACGACAATCAGCAAAATATGTTATAATCATCACTCATCAGAATTCAATCAAAATTGAAGAAATCGTATTAATAGTCCACAGCACTGCACGTTTATCACTAGATAGGGCTCGGATTTAAATGTAAATACATATTTTTAATGTGATTTGATAATTTAATTCAGGCGATTCGTTTCATATTATTTTTAATAAAATAAGCTTTATATAGGTAGGTACTCGATATTACATACTTTTACATACTTTTCGTCATAAAAACATATTTTTAAATTTTTCGCACTAATTCCATTTTTCTTACATACTAATCTAATTTTGATAAATACAATTTTAGATTTTTATATTTTATCTTAATTTCGTGACATTATCATTAGGTTATCGAGTTTTATGATCCACACAATTTCAAAAAGCGATTAAACTATTCAGCAAAGATGAAATACAAAATAAATTAGTTTAGATATCATTCAATTTTGGTTTCTATTGAAGGATACAATAAAACAACTAGAAACACGTAAAATTACTTTAGTTCAAAGTTTAGGACTCACAGAAGTAACTCTAAAGAATATAAAACAAGTATAAGGACCATTGGAAGAGGCTGTTAAAGAAAAAAATGCAGTCTATAAATAAAAATCCCTGTTTAAGTTCCATAAAATTAATCAGACTGAACTCACTCTTTTGGACATAACAAATTTGAAATTCACACCCATTACATCTATTGAGGTCGAGGGTTCCTTCAGTCAGCATAAATCTGTGTTACAACCAAATCGTAGTTCATTTAACTTCAACAATTTGAGTATGTACTTATATATGTTTTCATCGCAATCAAGAATAAGGTTTAATTATACACATTTTACTTATCATATAATTATTTTTATAATATATTTCATAGGTACCTTCATTTTTTAAAAATCAATTTTTATAAAGTATATACTATGTATTTACATAGGTAATGTTTTTTTTTTCAATACATATAAATCTGAGCCCTAGTGATCGCCGATTCCCCGAGTTCATTCATTTGTAAATATATTATTAAATGCAAAAAATGGTAGTAGACGATATTAGCAAGTTATTCGTCACAGCAATCCAAGCAAATTTCGTGTCATTTTAGACCTCGCGAGACAATTATTGCAGTCAAATAGTCGATCTCAAATCATATTTGCAAATAATATATAACTCTCGGCAGCTTGCTTTTACATATACAAATTGCGGTTCTTTAATCGTAAACTAGACAATATATCGTACATTTTAAAAATTTTAAATTGTTTATACACTACAAAATTATTAATATATTATATTTTATATCACAAACAGTTGGAGATATAAAAAAATTAACATTACAAAAGTTGTTGTAAATACTTGGTTTCATTTAATTTACTTTATGATATAACACATTATATAATAATTTTAATTTTTCTTTGATTTTCGGTATATTTAATTCATTGAAAAAATGTTGTAATTTGAATTCCCTGAGAAAAAAATACTCACTTACTAATTTCGGTTTACATAGTCAACCGCCTTATGAGCGAGCAAATGAGTGTGGTCCCAACGTGTCCTCGATTAAGCGGAATGCACTATTATGTTATGTGGAGGGTTGTGCTTAGAATATTCGGTAGAAACATAAAAAGCGTAAATAACTTTCAGTTTAAAATTATTTTCATCAAAGAAGCGACGTCACTTCCCTCCTCCCTGTGTGCGACACTGATGTGACGTCGTTAGGTACCTACATGGATTCACCTTTGATAATAATATTATATTAAAATATAATAAAGCCAATCAGTGGCGTGGTGAAGAGGTTTTTGAGAGGCCATGGCCTCTGAATTTTTAGCGGTGGGTGGGTGGGTGGTTGGTTTGGGTAGTCGTAGTCTCATGACTTATATAAGGATATGTAACATATCAATTCAATTGTACCTATACATAAACTATAATAATAATTATTCAGGGACTAGGCAAGCCCGTACAATCGTACGTTATTCTATCGTTAAAACAGTTTAAACGTGCAGTAAAAACTAAAAACAATAAAGCCATGGAGGTACCAGTATCAAATATGAATGTCGGCATGTCCGATGTCGCCCGTCGACAGCTCATAACAACACGATAACAATAATCAGTAATCATTATTCCTAAATGGGTTCTCCACTTCGTGTTCTATAAATAGATTTTAGGAATATCATTGCTACAATGCCACCACCCGCCAATCAATAAGCTCGATAATAACTATTGTCAATAAATAATAATAATAATAATTGTTTGACATTACATATTTTAATATTATTTAATTCCATGATTCCATGAAGCATCTTATCATTAACATTTAACCATATTGTTTTAATTTATTTTGTTTTCTGTACTTTCATTGTTTCTAAACTCACAACCACACTACTGTTTATTGAGTATTTATTGTTATTACTTTGTTGTACTGTGTTGCACTTTGTTTTTTTTTCTTACTTTGCTTTCACACGGTATACGTAGCTCATTTTTTTATTACTTTTATTCGTTTAATTCAATCAACCAATAATATTTAAAATGTCGAATGAAGCATGTAATCTATGTAAAAGAAAAAGAGAAAACCTAAACATGACCAACTGGACTCGACATATAATGTCTTGTAAAAAAAAGAGACTTTCATCTGGTCAAAGTATAAAGTCTTTTTTCAAACAGAAACCTTCTACATCTACTGATATAGCTATTGGTAAGTTTTAACTATTGTAACTTGTATGCCTATGTACTATAATATTAAACTCAGAATTTATTAACTTTTAAATTTTGGAATAATTATTAATTATTGCATATTACAAATGTATACAATTATTATTTTAAAATAAATTGTTATCACAGTGGAACAAGAAATGTCAAATATTAATTAAAATTCTATCACATCACAAAATTAAACTTAAACCATTAACACTTTTGTTAAACTAATATAATAATATCCATATGAAAATCATATTGAAATAACTGATTACTGAGTAGTGACATTGAATAGACCTATTGAATTTATAGAAAAAATATATCTCATATTAAGTATACATAAAATTTAGGATTAAATGACGACATTCAAACTGAGAACGCTGATCTTTTAGAAACTGAAGATGATGAACTGTCAAATTCTCATAGTGCTACACATGATTTACCTAAACTAGAAGGTATGTATTATGTATAATATTTTATGCTTTCATTATTATTTTTTAATTTTTGTATATTTATACAAATATTATTTTAGTATTATTGAAAACGATCAAAATAGTCTAACATAATTGTGTTTAAATATTGTGAATTAATGGAGGAATTAATTTTAATTAACTGTTCAAATGTGTATAAAATGTATACTCATGTTACAATATTAAATTTAAATATATGACTATCTTATTCAAAGTTACTTAACTTTTGTTAAACTAATTATCATCCATATGAAAATTATATTGTAACACCTAACATGTAGGTACCTATTATACCAATAATATTTTTCGCAGAATTTATAGGAAAAATATTTTTCATATTATGTATATTATATTTAGGATTAAATGACGACATTCAAACTGTGAAAGCTGATGTTTTAGAACCTGAATATGATGTGCTGTCAAGTTCTCATAGTGCTACACATGATTTACCTAAACTAGAAGGTATGTATTATGTATAATACTTTATGTTTTCATTATTATATTTTAATTTTTGTACATTTATACAAATATTATTTATATTTTAGTATTATTGAAAACGATCAAAATAGTTTAACATAATTGTGTTTAAATATTGTGAATTAATGGAGGAATTAATTTTAATTAACTGTTCAAATGTGTATAAAATGTATACTCATGTTACAAAATTAAATTTAAATTTATGACTATCTTATTCAAAGTTACTTAACTTTTGTTAAACTAATTAATATCCATATGAAAATTATATTGTAACACCTATCATGTAGGCACCTATTATACCAATACAATTTTTTGAAGAATTTATAGGAAATATATATTTCATATTATGTATATTATATTTAGGATTAAATGACGACATTCAAACTGAGAACGCTGATCTTTTAGAAACTGAAGATGATGAACTGTCAAGTTCTCATAGTGCTACACATGATTTACCTAAACTGGAAGGTATGTATAATAATTGTATTATTTATATTGATACAAAAATTTTTAATTATTTTTTTTTTATTTTACACAAATATTATTTTAGTATTTGAAAATGATCCAGCATCTATTCCATTAGTGATATCAGATGAAGTGTTGCATTATTATATGTCCCTTGGTCCATGTCAGCCAAATGCTCATGATTTATTAAATAATACATTTCCCAAGACATATGAAAAAAGTGGTCATATAAGATCATTTAATGAATGCTATTATTATAAAAAAAATAATGATGGACAATGTATACGGAGGTCTTGGTTATCATACTCACCATCTACAGATCGAATATTTTGTTCAACTTGTAAACTTTTTGGTTTACCAGATACTAAGAAAACGTTTTTAGTAAAATGTGGATCTAATGATTTTAAAAATATTACACGGACTTTATCTAACCACGAATGCTCACCAGAACATATGCAAAGTGTGATAGCACATGGTTTGTACGTGAGAAATGATCGGATTGATCTGAAACTCATCGAAAGTGCCAATCGCCAGGTAGCTGATAACCGAGAACTTTTAAGTCAAATTATTGATGCTCTTATTTACATTGGAAGACAAAATATAGCTTTGAGGGGCCATCATGAAGGCATTGATTCAAATAATAGAGGAAATTTTTTGGAATTAGTTAAACTTTTATCAAACAATCATGGTCCTTTGAAACGTCATTTAGAACAAATTGATAGTAAAAAAAAAAATCGACTGACATTTTTATCTAATGTTACCCAAAATCACTTATTAAATATTATAGCGGAAGTAATTAGATCTAAAATATTGAATGAAGTAAAAAAATCTGGGCAGTTTGCTGTAATAATTGATACAACAACCGACATTAGCAATTTGGAACAATTTACATTTATTCTTAGGTATGTAAATGAAGAAGGTCTTGTTCAAGAACGACTGGTTTCATTAGTGACAGCATCAGATGCAACTGGACTGGGTATGTTTGAAGTATTTTGTAAAATAACTAACAAATATAATATTGAGTGGAAGACACAATTGATAGCTCAAGCATATGATGGCGCTGCATCTATGCAGGGACAATATTCTGGTTTAAAAACCAGGATACAACATGAAAATCCACGTGCTATATATATTTGGTGTTGTGCGCATTTGTTTAATTTAGTAGTGGTTGATACATGTGATTGTTGTATTGTCTCCAAACGTTTTTTCGGAGATGTTGGAAGTTTAGTTGAATTTATGAGGGCAAGAAAGAGAACAGCTATTTTTGTAAAATTGCAAGAACAGTTATATCCTAACAAGCGTCTACGTCGAATGAAGCGGTTCTCAACAACACGATGGACCTCTCATGATAGGGTATTGATTGTTATAAATGAAAAATATTCTGCATTATTGGAAACACTGGAAGAAATTTCTGATGCGAATAATTCTGACCGCGAAACTGCTTCAACTGCTGAGAATCTAATTAGCAAAATAACATCATTTCAATTTATTTTGATGATGTTATTTTTTAGAAAAATATTTGCCATTACTACTGAAGTGTCTAAATATCTACAATCAAAGGAAATTGATTTTGTACAGGCAATTAATTTGATTGATGTTGCTAAAAACCGGTTAGTAGAGATGAGATCAGAACAAGGCTGTAAAGATTTAGTTGACCAAACAAAACTGTTTTCAGTGGAAAATAATCTTACGGAGAGGGATTTTTCTCAGGTAAGACTGAGGAGAAAAAAAATTATGCCTGGAGAACAAGCAAGAGATGAGCTTTTATCTAACCAGGAAGATAATTTTCGGACTGATGTTTTTTATAGGATTTTGGATACAATTATTTCGTCGATTGAAAATAGATTTTCCGAGTCTCGAAATATACTTAAAGATTTTACTTTACTTTCACCTGAACGTTTAAAATGTATTAAAAATGAAAATGATTTACCCAATGATGCTTTTAAATCCATTTCAAACTGGATTTCAATTGACCTCACTCAACTTAAAACTGAATATGTTACGTTTAGTAAAAGCTTAGACAAATTGCTGAATGGTATGAATATAAACATGCAGTATCAAAACCATGACAAACAGACAAGTGATTTTGATTCAGAGAATGATAGTGAAATAAGTGAAAATGATGTCGAAACTTCAGAAAATAAAATAACATGCCTGCAAATTCTTAAAATTTTATCTAGCTATGACCTTCAACACGCTTTTCCAAACTTATTTAAAACATACAAAGCACTTGGGACAATACCTGTATCTTCTGCATCTGCAGAAAGAAGCTTTTCAAAGGTAAACTGCTAATTTATTTAATTTTAAAAATTCAACAATTATTTTATTAATAAATTATGTTTGGTATTATTTTAGGTAAAGCTTATTAAAACAAGACTTCGCTCAACCACAGGTCAGTGTCGGATGGAAAGCTTATTGATGTTAAGTATGGAAAGAGATATACCAATAAACCAACAGGAAGTAATTGATAAGTTTGCTCAAACATCATCCTTATTGAAAAAAAATTTGATGTTTAAATAGCACACTTATTTTGTCGAGTAATTTTGTTATAAAGTAATTTAATGTGCAATGAAGGAAAGTCCTATTATAAATTTAAATTTTATGTATTTAAAAATAAAATAAAAAGGTACCATAATATTTTTTTTTTTTACCTATATTAATTCTTTTTGTTTTTTATATGATTTAGCAATTAGAATTTAGATGTTTACCTATTTGCTAAAATTCAAAACCACTCTTAAAATAAAATTGTTTTGATAATGTCTATTTATCATATAATATATAAACTGATTAGCAAGGCTAGGATTTGTATGCAATAAAAAATGGTAAAATATGCATTTACATTTTTATGAGATAAACACAAAAATATAGTTATACAAAAAATAGTCATTTTGTTGAAATACATCAGTGATTTGCTATTTGTCTTAATATAATATAATTGAGAAAAAAAAATAATAATTTATAATTCACATTCACTATATGTGCTACATGTTACGAGTTACGACCACATATTTTTTTAAATTTTCAAAAATGAATGTCAAACTATTCAATCTTTTATTGCATACCTATTGGCTATTGTACCATAGAATTGTATTTATAAAAATAAAATTTATGTTTGACAAGAAAATCAAGTTTTATGAAATATACTATAAAACATGCATTTTTCGCATTTTTATAATCGAAATATGCAATAATATTCATTTTATTCAATATATGCAATGATATGCATTTCATCCAAAATATGCAAAAACATGCAAAATAAAAATACCACCATTTATTTCATCATGAGGTGATTCGTGGACATTTCTGACAAAATCACTAATCAGAAGTCGCAAAAAAAACATGCTGTTGCATATAAATCCTAGCCCTGCTGATTAGGTACCTAATTAATTGGAATAGTATAAGTTAGAATTTCCAATAATTGTATGATAAATGATAATTCTCAAATAGGTAACAATTTCTCAAGTCTCAATAAACTTAAACAACTTTTGAAGGGGACAGGCCATAGGCGTTTGAGATTTGTGGTGGAGGGGGCTGAAACCCTACTATTAACTAATATTATACTATTGTAATAGTATTGACTAAACTTTTAAAATATGTAGTAAATATTTGGGGGGCTTAGCCCCTGAAGCCCCCCCTCATTTGCGCCGGTGGGCCTGACTCCTTAAGTCTCCTCAAAAGATGCTGTTTTTTTTTTATAGGTGGTGGGTGTGTGCACATTTTGTTGGCCTCATGGGTAAAGAAAGTTCACCACGCCACTGAAGCCAATGGTGTACTTAACTCATTTAACAGTGCTTGGGGAGGAAGGGGGGTTGGGTGACTGTAGGGAATTTTACATAGTGTAACACTATAAGACCAACGCGAGATAATATTATTATGATATTATGTAGGTAGGTAGATATTATACGACATTACGATCATCTTCCTTGAATTCTTTGCTTAAAGATCAAAGTAGGAACAATTTTATTTTGTCTTTCAATTTAATACAAAATATGTATATAAATTTTGAAATAATGGAGCATTTTTATTATGGGCTTGGTCTATATTCAAGCATTGTCAAAATTTTTTTTTATAAACTGCATCTGTTTAGACTATTTGTTAGCGTTCGTTTTGCTTTCTCGTGATTTCCTTAAATTATTATTCTAAGAAATTCGAAAAATTAACTTTCTAAAGTACAATGGATCATCCACAAAGAAACTGTGTATGAATCGTTTCGAGTTTTTACTCGCGTATAATATTATAGTGTTAACCGAAAATGTCTTTTTACATCATTGTAAAACTGAATGTTGTCTAAATTCCGTAAAAAAACAGCTTTCACCACTTTTCCCCTCTATATTAAAACACTTTTCTGTATATACCTGGTTACAGTATTGTTAAGAGTACTTTTAAAAATGTACTTTAATGCTTAAATAAAAGATTATTTGTAATATTCGAATACCGGAACATTTCTATAAAAATGTATTTATAAATGTTAATATTTTTCAAAAGTATTATGGGTTTTTTTTTGTTGATAAAATGGGCTTAATATTTAATACTTTGTGGGCTCAGAATCAAAAGGTGCCATCTCAGAATATCGAATTACACAGGAGATACTTACAAATATGAAATAAAATACTTTCTACTTTCAAACTGTAATATTTTTTTCTTAATGAACTGCTTTTAATGATGTTCAAATCTAAAGATTAACATAGTTCTTGTAGGTACACGATTTTGGTTGATAGTATTATTGTTCACTTAGAACTGTGTTGTTATAAATTAAATTAATGTTTCACGGGAAACAATATTTGGTTAAACGAAGTAGGATAGCGTGAATTTTTCTCTCCCTCTGTATTATTGTGACTCCACAGCGAAAAAACATAATTTCCTTTTTTTCTTTTAATCGATCGTGCAGTATAAGGATACAAATATAAAATGCACACTCGAACAAACCGTTATGTGCGTACGATATTAAGTGGGCTTCGAAACAAAAGGTGTTATCTCAAAATATCGAATTGTTCAGGAGAGAAATACTTTCAACTTCAAACTGTAATATGTTTTTTTTCATAATGAAAAACTTTCAATGATGGTCAAATCTAAAAGTTTACAAAAAGTTGTCTTACGCATGCATCCTTTTGGTTGGTAATAACTAATATTTCTTTTTTTTCACTTTGAATTGTCTTTTTCTAAATTAAATGGTGTATGTTTCTAGGGAAACAAAATTTGGTTAAAAGAAAAACTATATTGTGTCGTAATGTTAAAACCAAAATGATACACGTATGATGGTACTATATTCAGTATGTACTATATGATATAGAATTATTTATTTTGTTGATTAATAAAATTAATAATATTGTACTTCATATCTAATGATTATTGTATGGTTGATGCAATGGATATTAAAAAAAACTTATTTATTTTGAAACTATATAGTTTGGTATACTATATAATATGGTTACCTAGGGTTATATTTATCACTATTTAATATTAAATTGGTTTATAATCCGTGGTTATTTATATCCTTCTAGTTCTGTGTATTTCTTTAAATATTTCACCTAAATGGTTGTTTTTTTGTGGTTTTGATTATATGGAGAATTAATAACTTAACTTATATCTAGGTATCAAAAAAGTGAATTTAAATAAAACCTATTTGAAAAGTTTGGTTCTGTGCCCTCAACTTATTGTATTATTATATTATATACTTCTTGTAGACAAAATTTGTTCTGACCTATAAGCAAGCTATTATACAATAATAGTAAAAAGTTTAGTGTCTTAGAATTTTCTGAAATAAATAAAGATGTATTGATGGTAATAGTAATATAAACAATCAAAATAAAACTTGATCCGTGTATATATATATATTTTTATTTATTTATTCTTCGTCAATAATGGCCAATGGGCCCTACTGAAGAATTCCGTAAAACAAAGTATTCCTCGGAACTTGCAGGAAGTTAATATAGATTATTAAAAATAAACAGAAAATAAAAAAACATTATATCTTTAATACTAAAAATGTGTTAAAATACAAAATGCTCTTACAATGTCAACAAAGTCTGTATATTATGTTTGTGTATATACGAGCGAGTTTAAAGATTTATATTATATTATACTATTATATGTGTTACATCAAAGATCGGAATTATTTGCGAGAGTGCAATCTTTCCCGAGTATAAGGGGTTCACATTATATACATGTGCCTATAATGTAACAATATTCAATCGAGTAAAATGTAATAAACTTGCACTATATAATAATAATATCATACGAGCGAATCTCCGCTGATTAAATAATAAAAATAATAATACGATTTGATATTATTATTTTACGACTCTACGGACGTATATTAGAAAAAATAAGTATCCGCTTCGACGATGATTTTTGTCACACCCATATATCTGTGGTTACCACTCCACCCCGAGTGTTACATACAATTTCACTACCCCATAATCAATATAGGTATGTATGGTATAGATACGGGCAATCACGTGTATGATTAATAAATTAATTAAAACTTAAAATATAATAATAGGTTTTATCGTGACGTCGCATTGTGTCATATCGCTGTTTTAAATTAACTTTGTAATTATTATTACCAAAAGTATATTATATTGCATTGAAAAGCTGCGCAAGGGGATACCGCGCTTTGCTGTACAATAGGTTTCGCGTAGGTCACTAGCTGTAATGGGTGTGTTAAATTTGAATTCAATGATATAAAATCATTGTGATTTTGCGATAAACGATTTTGATGGTCTGCAGCCTATAATTAGTACGATATTATTGCTACTTAAGTAGTTTATTTTACTATTAGTAAAACAGTAGGTTTAATTACTTACTAATTTTAAAAGCGTTATAAACCTAGAAAAAAGTGTTTGCCTATCTTTATTATTTTTGAGCTGCCATTAAATCAACTTATGACTTATATTCAATTATAAAGCTTAAAAAAATATATTCAATATTTTGAATATTTTTATCATGTACAGAAGTGGCTAATATAAACAATTTGGTAAATATTGCAAGTACCTATCCGGTATATATGGTTATTCGTTTTTGAGATACGCCAAAAAAACAAAATCGATTTGATCAAAACTGGTTTCGTGTAAAAATTTCTGTTTTTAAAAATTTTTTCTTTGTTTTCCACATGGATTTCGAATCAATATTTTTACTACTTATCGTGTACACAGAAACACATCAAAAAAACACCACACACGTCATTGTAAAATCAATGCATTTATCACTCCGTTTAGAATCTAAAATGTTAAAAAGTTGTCGTATAAACATATTACATATTATGTTAGGATTTATTTTACTCTTATCTCCATAATACTGAGTGACTGAAAGTATAACTTGAGCGAATGTATAATGTTGTATTATATTCCGATACTGAGGACGCGTTGTGTCTACATAATAATATTATTATAATAATATAATAGTAATAATATGATATATCTTTTATTTTATATATTTCCCTCGTTGTGACACTATACTGTTGTAGTGCGTGTCATATTTTCTTGACTAACTATTTATGATACAGTGAAAAACCCTCATGG